GCGCTCCGGCGGCTCTCCCGGCTGCGCTCCCGTGACCCTTCGCGCACAGGAGTTTGAGAGTTGCTATGACGACCCCGCCGATGCAGCCAGCAGCACCCAGCCGGCACCGAGCGCAGGTTGGTGTCCGTGGGGTGGCTCTCGGGTTGGGGGGTGGCAGGAGAGCGTGGGCCAAACTCGAGGGTGCTTTGCAAACCGAGCACGTGGGCTTTCCCCATCATCCGCTCCCATCGCTGCTCTGGCACCCTGGTCTCGCTGGGGAAGAGCAGCAAAAGGTGCCCTGAGCATCCCGCTTGGAGACACCGCGGTGGGGGCACGGAAGGAACGGGGATGGCTCAGCTGCTCCAGAGGGTGCCGGCAAAGGGACCCCAGCATAGGGCAGCGCTGTGGGGCAGGGGTCAATGCAAGGGGTGAACTCACCCAGGGCATCCTCGGGGCTGGGTGACGGTCAGGCAGGGTGCTCCTGCGCAGGCAGAGCTGGCATGGAGGTCACACAAAGGGATGCGGTGCAGTGGCAGGCAGGGTGCTGCCAGGGACAGCCAGCAGCCCCTTCTCTGCAGCTGCGTGCGTTTTTCACCTTGCTCTTCATTAAGTTAAGATGTAAGACTGAAAATATGTATAGTTGTAGCTAAATTGCATTGCTTTGAAGTCCTGTGAAGGGCCAGGGGGAAAAACTTGCCTTCCCATAGGGGCCGTGCAAACTAAAGCTGCATTTTACCAGAGATCTGACAAAGCTCCAAAGTGAGAGCATGGAGCAGTGTCTGCAGGAGGATGCAGGACTCTGTACAATCCTCATCCCCAAGTGCAGCAGCGGCAGCAGAGACGCATGGGAGCAGCAGCCTCTAGCCGTCAGTGCCAAGAGCTGCAGCTGCTGTTGGGAGGCTGCAGCCGGAGCAGCTCCGCACCACCTGCCTCTTGCTGCCAGCCTCCCCGCACCCTTGTAGTGGGTGGCTAAAAACATCCAGGGTGGCAAATACCGACTACATTAACACTTACGCAAACCTGGCATCGCTATCATAAATTTGGAAGGGAATTCAGCAAATAAAGGTGACTCCCACCGGCCTGCGTTACCTTGGGTGCTCCACGCGGGCTGTGCCTCAGAGGGCACAGGGAGCGGACAGCGGGGTGCTGGGGCTGCCCCCGCAGCTGGGAATCCTCCCTGGGGTTTTTAAATCCTAAGCTTTGAGCTAAATAAGCGGTCAGATGCAGCAATGGGACGGTGATGCTCCCATCTGGCAGAGGTAGTGAGGACACCTCTCTTCACAGCCGTGAGCTGCTCGGAGGTCATGGCCGGTGTCAGGGTGGGTGCACGTAGCTGTAGCTCTGCTCTTCTGCTCCCCCAGCAAGGGGAGGACAGATGTGAGCCAGCAATGTGTGGCTCTGTGTCCTGCAAACCCCCAGCCCTTGGCAAATATTGGCAAGATCCCCTCTCCGGGGGCTGCAGCCCCCAAAGGCGAGGGAGGAACTTAGCGGCTGTGGTGTATCCTGTGTTTGCATTGCAGAAAAACCATCCTCTGCAGCGGGCTGCGACTCTGTTGTACCGAGGGACAGATCCTGCCCTCAGTGTCCTCAAACGAAGATGCTCCCAGGTGGGTGGCATGGCCAGGGGACTCCAGCTGCCAAATCTTCCTCTGCCCTCACAGACAACCCCAGCACAAAACGTCTGCTTTGAGGGTTGGCAACGTGGTGGTTTCACCTTCGCCCCTTTCCTTGAGGTTGGTGGAGGAGGAACCCGCATTCAACAGCTGAAGGGAACCCACTCTCCGGCCCCTCTCCTCCCACTGCAGCCTGGCAGGAACCCTTACACCTCCCTGGGTCCGAGCTCACAATGCAGTGCCCAGGCAGTTCCCTGGCCCTGCCCGCGCTCCCCCGGCCTTGCCTGCACTCCCCCAGCCTTGCCTGTGCTCCCCCACCTTTGCCTGCGCTCCCCCAGCCCTGCCTGCACTCCCCCAGCCCTTCCTGCGCTCCCCTGGCCCTGCCCACACTCCCCACAGCCCCACGGTAAGGAGCCATGTGGGATGCACACTACACAACACAGCTGTGTTTTGGGGAGGAAGGCTCATCATGGACACAGAAGTACTTTTTTTAGCAATGATATCCCCCCAAATAGCTGTTGAATGACCATTTCCCACAGCTACATGGAGAACTGAGGATGAACGCTAACTATATTTTCTTAGATATAATTTCTAGCTTTTATTCCCTAGCAATGACCTGAAGCACCTTCCTTTCCCCTCTCCTCCAAGCTTTCCCCCATGCTGGGCTCCCCGGCACCCGTGGCGCAGCAGGAATGGAAGCTCTGCTCACACCTGAGAAGGGAGAGATGCAGAAAAATCACTAGATATGGCTCAGTCCAGTGAATCAGGACAGAAGGGGGAGCCCAGGAGACAAAATCAGAGAGCATCCCACCCCGCTGGGCTCCTGTCAAGTTCTGGATGTCGACAGCATTCCTAGAAACTTGCTTTTTGTTTCTACAGCTACCTCTTGGCGTTTACTTAGTTTGTAGGAGACCACTCTCACCTCCGAGTCTGTGCCAGCATTCCCACTGCGCTGAACAGCAAGCCGTTCTACTGGCAATGCCCAGAAATCACCACCGCGTCATACTCTGCTGTTGTCCTCCATGTATTAATGGGCCAAAACAGCTACTTCTCCTGTCTCTTTTCCCACGCTGGTCCTTTCCCTCCAGATCTCTGACATCTGAATCACCCCCCGGCTGTGCCTGTCATCCCCTGCCTGCTGTTCATGCTTTAAAACCCACGTCACTTTGGCAGCCACCTCCTTGGCAGCTTGCTTGACTGACGAGCGCTTGTCCTGCCCTGGGCAAGTCTGCAGCCTCCTGGTAGATAGAAACGTTGTGGTTTTGACCCCTTTTAACAAGACACTTTCAGGACTGATATTTTTAGCAGTAAAGGAGCCTGAGCTATATTACTGCTGGATGTATGAAGTGTCCCAGCTCCTGGTGCGCCCCGGGGACACCGGCCAACTCTCTGACCCGCTCCATCTTGTGAATGTTTTCCAATGTCCCGAGACATTTCCTAGCAAACAAATAATTTTCTAATTTGCTTAAATGACTGCTCCCGCCTCGCGCAGAGCCGGCGGCAGAGCGGCTGTGGGAAGGAGCCCGGCAGGGTTTTGGCTGTACAGAGAAGGGACTGCCTTTCCCTGTGCTCCCCAAAGACCTCTGGCAGGCGCAGAGACCGATGCCCACTACAGACCTGACCTGCTGAGACTTATTTAACATTTCCTAACAGACCAGGCTATGCTGCGAGCCTATTTGCAGATAGTGCTGGTTTGTACTTCAGTATTTTTAGATACCTTCTGTTTGTTATATCTTTATTTGACCCCTCCCAAGCCAGACATCAATTGCCGACTCAGGTGCATATTAAAACATAGCTCACAATAGACTGTTCTGCCCGTACCTGCCTTGTAATTTCTCTCTAATTTATTGCTGACAATCGTTTGTTTTCCTCTCCAGCCACGAACAATATGCCCATTGTAAAATACCCCAGGGCTACAGAGCCTCTCTGGCATGAATGGGACGGGAAAGCACAGAAATGTGGATTAAGACACACCGTCTATGCTGTAAATGGGGATCAGTATATCGGAGAATGGCTGGACAACTTGAAACACGGTAAGATAGATCATTTTGAGAAAAAGTACCAATTTAGATGTCTTTAAAAAAGTTCCTAGGGACAGGGAGTGGTCAGCAGTTGTATATGCTCCTGGAAGACCATTCATTCATGTATGACTATATATATATACACACACACACGTGTGTGTGTGTCTTTGATATATGTCATGCAAAAATGTACTCAGAAATATTTCTAATAGGTAACTTGAAGAGCTTTTGCATGCACTCAGGGGCAATTACCCAAAATATATACAAAATAGATGTTTAAAAATCATCTGCAAACCCAGCAAACTGCAGTCAGCTCCATGTAGCGGGATATGCCCTGGCTGCACAGTCCCTGGAGCTCTCTTGGCTCCTGACTCGGCTTCAGGAATATTAATTAATCCTTGAGTCGTGGCGGGTGCTGCAGGAGACAGAGCAGGGAAGGAGACCCTGACTGAGCCCTGAGCAGCCAGAGCAGGACAGGCTTGTTTACAAGCCATAAACCGAGGTTTGGAAAGATTTAAGTGTGTTCAGCAAAGGCCACACAGGAAGCCCCTGATCAAGATTAACGATGCATCCGACTCGGGAAGCTAAACTGAATCTCAGACATAAACCTGCCTCGGTGCAGGAAGCACCACCTTGCCTGGGATGCAGCTGTAGGAAGGCAGCCCTGTAATCCCTTCTCCTAACAACCGCGATGGTTTCCCCATCATTCCTCTTGTTAAACAGGTAAAGGCACCCAGGTATGGAAACGCACCGGAGCTATTTATAGCGGTGACTGGAAGTTTGGGAAACGGGATGGTTATGGCTCATACAGCATTCCTGACCCTGTAACCAAGGAATACAAGAAGGTGTATACAGGCTGGTGGAAAAACGACCGAAAATGCGTAAGTGAGATTTCCTGCGCCTGCCGGTGGTGAGACAGTGTTCCCCAAACGTGGGGAAGAGTTGGGTGCACACTGCAAAAAGATCACTTAAAATACTGATTTGTCAAATACTGAGGCTGAATTGAAGGGTTTTGGGGAAATGAATATGTGGAACAAGAAAATGAAAGCGGGAGCAAAAGCTCTGATATTGAAGCCCTCTCTCCCTGGCCTCCCCAACCTTGCTGCTCCTGGCATCACTCACTTCTCCACATCGGATGCTGCAAGAGCTGCACTGTATCCCACAGCCGGCAATAGGGAAGCAGCCGTGTGACCCCAGGCAGAAGCTACAGCAGCAAACCTTCCTCCAGGCTTGGGCTCTCTTTAAATCTTAGTCTGAACCTGCAGAAAGCCCAGGAAGCTTCAAGAGTAAAAGCCATCATTCATAAAAAGCCAAGCGTGGCCAAGAGTGCCCCATCGCCTGCCGTCTCCCCGCTGGAGACGGACCCATCCCACTCATCCGCTGGTGACCGGGCTACAGCCCCGACCTCCCACCAGCTGCTGCAGAGCAGCGATCGCTGCTCGGACTCACCTGCAGCTCGGCCAAGCAGTACAAGAGGTTTCGTATCCCGTGTCTTAATCCTCCCCACCCATCCCTTTCATTCCTCTTATCCTTGAAGCAGTCGGAGGAACCTGTATGATAAGCACTGCAGGAAAATGCACCTTCTTCAGGGAGTTTTACAGCATATTAGACAAATAACATGAGTTCTTTTGGAAATTAAGCCTGTCACATAAATCACTGGTTTTTCTAAAGGGAACATAATGAGGAAGTCATCTGGTAAAAATGACTGCAATCTTACGTGCAAAATCCTTGTAGGAACGTTTTCTGATCTGCCAATGGAAACCTTGTGTTCGCCTTTGTGTCTGCTCTGAAATTAAATTAACAGCCTCTTACGCTTCTAATTGGTGAGCAGCTCTATGGCTCCAGTCCCTTGGAGGGAGCTTCCCCTCCCGTTCTTTGAGGATATACTTTGCATGATTGAGCTTTGGTGAAAGGTTTATAATGACATCCAAATATCACCAGGGTTGTTTTTTTCTTCTACAAAAGCGTCCCCTTTACATCCATGCAGTTTAATAAAATTAATGCTCAGAAAAATCAGTTATTTCCAGAACTGATTTTATTTTTTGTTCAGAGATAAATTAACGCTTTATTCCTATGGGAAAACTCATTAGTAATATGTAAATATTTCTTACTGGTATCACTCCCTGGTATAGGGGGTACCTCTGGATTTCTCTTAATGGCAAACAAACACATAAGACAAACACCTCCTGGGGTCCCCGGCTTGCGCACACCCAGTGGTCTTAATTCAGAAGTTCACCAACCAAACCTGCCAGCGGCATCGAGCCTGAGGAGAGAAAGCAAAGAGCGGAGACTGCTCAACGTCAGAGCTCGCCTGCCCCGCCGGGGTGACGCCTGCCGCCCCGGGAGCCTGGCCCGGCGCCCGGCTGTGGGGAGGCACGCGTGGCATCGCTGCCTGTGCCTGCCGGCCTCACCGCAGGTAGCCTTCAGGGCTGCCTTTAGTTTCTTGTGAAGGAGGAAGGAAGCAAGGCAAGGGGCTGTTTAGGACATCATTACCTCTTTGGGGGTACGGATGGAGGAGAGGCAAAACCGTTTCCATGGTTAGCATCACTTAGAGACCTTTGGTCTGCCCAGGGGCAAGGGAAGGAGTTGCCCAGCCTGGGACACACGGGGCTGTAGGAAGCACCGTCAGGGTGGAAAGGCATAAAATTCCCATGTTGAGAGACAGGTCTTTTTTTATGCTGCATATCCATAGGCAGGTTTATATACTAGTAAAACCCGCTTTTAGCTAAATATTAGCAGTGATCCTGCCAATGATAACACACTGAGATATAAACATGAGACTTTGTTGTGGGAATAAAATCATTTGCCAAAAAAAAAAATCCCGTACCATCACCTCCCGTTTCCTTCAACACAAAACCAGCCACTGAGTTGGGCCACCAGCAGCCATGTGTAAGAGTACTAAGCAAAGGAGTAGCATATCAAGAAAGTAATATCCCAAAATTGAACACTGACCCCTTTCAATACAGAGGCTCCTAACCGGCCATCTCTGTGCTGCTCTCCAGGGATACGGGGCGACGTTTTACCTCGGTGGAGAGCGCTATGAGGGCGAGTGGAGCGGTGGGCTGCGGAGCGGCTGGGGACGGATGTACTACCGGGATGGATCCGTCTACGAGGGGCAGTGGCTGGTGGACCGGCCCGGCGGGCAGGGGATGCTGCGGCTGCGTAAGTACTGGCTACCCTCTCCCAATGTGTCTGCCAGCCCCCTTCAAGGTATTTGGTGTTGTGCTGCTCTCCGGATGCCTCTGCCATCCAGATTTCTGGATGCTACATCGCATCTCCTGCTGCAGCCTTGCGTCAGGGTAGCGGCTGCTCCCCTTTGTCATCCCTCCCCTCCTGGTTTGGGGCTGGAGGCAGCACAGGCTCTGCTGTGATTTACATTTAAATGACTGGGATGGTTAGGGTTAGAGATAATATACTGTTGGGTCAGAGAAGAGCAAATCTCTCTTTTCAAGCCAGGCACTTTGCCAGACATACTTTCTAACTGCTGCATACCAAAGAGGAGTCCAGTTTCCAGCACCAAAAAAAAAAAGAGAGAAGTTTTCTTTTTGAGTTCACTCCATCCCCTCTCTTACTTCCGACGCTGGCTCATGTTGAGTGAACACAGGGGTTTCATTAGTACACAATCCCTTCCCAGAAATAACACAGAGCACATCACGGATGGGGAATGCTGGGGGCAATCTCAGCATAAAAATAGAAATTTGGAATTTTTTCCCCCCTCATTTTGCTTGGAGTTTAACACGTTTTTCCTCAAAGCCAAGAATCCCAATCCTTTGCAGTACAAGGCACTGCGTTCCAGGAACATTTGAAGAAATATTATCTCCATATTATTATTCATCTATCGTTTTTTGCTTGAAAGTGATCTCAAGGCTAGTAATTAGCTAAGCAAAGCAGCTAGGAGGAACGAGCACGACCTTCACTGCACATCACATGCATGACTGCGCTCTCTCTGATGACTGAAAAGTCACTTTGGACCAATGGCTCATCCAGATGAAATCAGCACCCACTTCCAGAGGTAACTCCTTCCACTGATCTGCTTCACTCCCATCAAAGTCACCCTCGGCATTATAAACTGACGACCCCTCAGGGCTGAGCTGCGGCTGATGTGCCATTTCAGACCCCGGTTGCCTCCAGCGTAGCCTACAACGGATTGTGAGCTGGATTCCTTTTGGTTAAAATTAGCCAGAGCAATTATTTCATACCCACAAGCTTAATGTATTCAGCTCAGCCGCTGGAAGCGTGCCCACGTGGCGGCAGCTTTGCGATGGTGAAAGTAAAGGATTTCTTTAGCGGAGGTCACGATGAGCTGCAGCTCAAGATTAAATTGCTTGTAGTGGCAGCGTGCCCAGTGAGGGCGAGCTTGGCTGGGAGCACTGCGATCATTTGCCGCCTCTGCTGCAGCCTGTTGCCAAACGGCTTTTAAACCAGAGCATTGCACGTCCACAGAGGAGATCTCGGCTGTGAGCAACGCAGCCTCCGAGATGCTCTGGGGGGAGAGCGGATGGGAGCAGCCAGGTGCCACGGTGCAGCCAGAGCAGTCGATGGCCCCTGCATCACAGCCAGGTCTGTGATTTGGGAGGTTTCTGAGTCGTCGGTGGCTGGAGAACAGAAGCCGAGCTGCTCCCACCAGTGGGCAGGGCAGGTCGGTGTTGCAGATAAGCACACCACCAGATGCAAGCTGAAGATAACCACCGCCACGGCTCCAACCTGTAAACCAGACCCTGCCTGAACAGCCCAGCAGCCACGGTCCCCAGAAGCATTTTTGGTTTTTCCCTCTTGCCTTATGGCGTTCTGGCATTCCCCAGCTACCTCTGCGGCACCATGCTGGGTGCCCTGGTATTTCGGCCACCTCTTGCCACAAAGAATGGCAGAGTTCGGCTGAGACCCAAAGATATTTCCACTAAGTAACTTGGTTTGAAACCCCGTGGTTTTTGGCTTAGAAACACTATATTTGGGAAAAGGGGACAGCAGAGGACTCTCCTAGTGAGAGCAGGGTGGCCCCAACATCACCATAGGTATGATGCGCCTTCTCAACCAGCATCCCTGGACGAGGCTGCTCTCTTCCCTTCGCAGCTCTGCTTTCCCTGTTGGTGATGGATGGATGGATTTCTGGAGAGCAGTGCAGAGACCAAAAAAACCTCTCTTAACTTGCAGAAAAATGCCAAGAGATGCAGTACAGCTGGAAAAACAATCTGTAACTGATTGCCTGAACCATTCAGACACTCACAGCAATTCTTGCTCTGTAATTCATTGAGGAAAAACATAACTGCAAGTATTATTTGAAATCGAGATTATTTTGACTGGACAACAATCAGACAGTGCTGCTGTTCCTTGCCCAGACAAGCAAACCTCTTCAAGCCAGAGATCCCATGTGATATGTTGCAGTGACAAATCCGAAACTTCTGTCCTATAATTTTTCATGTTGTGAAGAGTGACTCAGCGACTAGTCTTACCCTGAGCTCACTCGCTCTGCGTATCAGCAAAAAATGAGTATCACCGGGAGACGAACAAAGCAGGTGAACGCAGTTCTTGTTCCAAGTGGGCAATCGTGGGCTTCTTCCACAGCCTCTTCTCCCTCTGCAGCACAGCAAACGGAGCACCACAAAAGCAGAATGACACACCATGCCGCAGCCCCCTCGAAATTACTAAGAGGAGCCAAACAGATTATTTCATCTTCTGTCAGTTTGCTGTGTTGATCGGTTTCGTTTGTAGCCCCTTAGTGAAACAGTGCAGATTTCATGGTCTGTTCATCTATTTAATTGCAGCAAATGAAAATCGGTATGAAGGAGGTTGGAAAGACGGAAAGAAGCATGGCCCAGGGAAATTCTTCTACTTGGATAAGGGACAGTTGTTTGAAGGTATCTGGGCAGCAGATATACCAAAATGTGGAATTCTGATTGACTTTGGCAGAGACGAAGCTCCTGCCCCTACTCAGTATCCAATCCCAAAGGTAATTGCCTGGAAATTTTGGGTTTGCTAGTGATGTTTGCGTTCACCAGCGCTCGGGGCAGGTCTCCAGGTAGCATTTCACTCTTCAAGCGATTACCCCCATGGAGTTCCCAGCTCACAGGGTGTGTGCTCAGTCTTTTGGCCAGCAGTGTCCTAAATGGTCCCATAGGGACAAACGGCCCGTCCAGCCACTGCTGGAGTCTCCTAATCACCTACATCTGAAAAAATGCAGTTCTCGTGCACCAAAACTGCTTAGAGACCTGAAGCAGCACAAAGGAAACGGGGACAATAGAGGCAGAGACAATAGTGGGATTTGTGTCAAACCCAAATGATTTCACCAAGCCAAACTGCTAAAGCTGACTAGACCTTACCGGAACCTGAGCAGCTGCAGCACTAATATCAGCTATTTCCTTTACCTGGGCACCCTGCGTCAGGGTCTTGTCCAAGTCCAGCAGCCCCATGGACAGAGGGGTGCATGTAGCTTCCCCGAGGCGGGCAGACGGATGTCTGAGAGCTGACATGCCCTGCTCCCCTCTTCCCTTATGACACAGGCTGCAGAGGAAGAGCCAGCCCCTGTCCCCCCTCCCAAAGACTCGGTGAGGTGCACGATGGGGCACATGGACACCCCAGGCCATCAGCCTGGCAGCTGCTGGGTCTTTGCACATCACTTTGGTGCAGGAGCTGGAGGACAGGAGAGCCCATCCCCGGCTCCGTGCCCTCGGAGGAGCACAGGGATCAGTAGGGAACAGACATGGCTCCAAGTGACACAGCTGGCCAAAAGAGTCTCAGCTTGAATCCCCATGGTCTGCGTGCCACACACGTGAAATACAAAGGCATCGCATTTCCAAGGGACAGTTCCTGCAGGATACGGGTGGGGAAGCTCCTCTTCACTTAGAGCTGAGCAGAACCACACTGGATAACCACAGCACACTGCTTTATTCCAATAACGCAGGGAATAGCATGGCCCCGTGGCAGGTAAAGCTACCTACCTTCCTCCTCTGCTCCAGGGACAAGGTTGTTGCAAATGATACTGGGCACGCGCAGTGTACCAAAGCTCACAGCTGTTACGTCTTTGCTTCCCTTATTTTTTCAAATCTCGTTTCTATAGCAAGGGCCCTTTGAGCACAGGCTTTTTTGACAGGCCAGTTAATCCTGTAAGTACTAGGCACACCCACAGCAGTGCAGAATAATAAACACCAAAGACTCACCAGGGAAAAACAATCTCGATTTTGCAAAAAGAGTGAAAGGAGCAGTACTTCTGTAGCTAAAAATATTTACCTTACAAGCTTTGTCAAAGGTCACCCGAGAACAGCCTCAACAACCCAGCCCAACAGCCTGGGATGAATTGCCATTTCACTAAGGCAGGATGTTCAAGTCTGGCTGTTTAACTCTCTGAAGACCAAGTTATGACCCAATTTTATTCCGCTCTATGAGCAAAAAAAAAAAAAAAAGGAAGCATCGACTTTCACTGCCTTTATTGCACTTTCCAGAGGAAGAGATTTATTGATCTCAGATTATGAAGGAAGTAACAGATAAAAGGAGAAAAATTGACTTCAGATTTTCATAAACCTTTTGTCAAATTACTGTCGCAAGCAGCTGTTAGGGAAAATTAGATGACAGGTGAGCGTTAGAAACTGCTAAAACCAGAGATGGACTCAATAGTCAGCTTTTGCCTGGCAAGAGGCCAACAGTGAGGATCTGAGCTTCTGCACAGGAGAAGCATCACTGTGTGCCTTCATTAGCAGGTAAAAGGAACAGACAGGAGGGATGCACAGGACAGAAAATGGCTGAAAACTAGAGAGCGATTGTCACAAGCTTTGAAGGACTCCAGTATGTAGATGATGGGGTTGCATCAAGGTGGAATTCAAACGTAACTGCAGAGATGGGGAAAGACACAACATGGCGGACTTAGGATATTTGCTGTTGTTATTATTATTGAAGCCAAGGCTTCAGAAAGCATAACAAAATAAATGAGAAAAAGACTGGACATCTTCTGCCTGGAAGAACACCACACACACACGAACCCCCCAGAAAGCATCGGGACATAAAGCAGGTCAGAGTGAGATGACAAGTTCCTGGCAGGGCTTTGGCGCTTCCCTCTCAAGAATCTGCACCCAGTTGCACGCAGGTTACATGACTCCAGCTTCCTGCTTCCATGTGACCTTTGGGGCTCACTTGGGTGACTGCAATTACTCACCTTTTAAAACTATAGATGAGACCCCACAGGCCACAAATTAAAGCCAGTTTTGTCTAAGAATGTGTTTTGTTAAAGGAGAATCAGTCCACTCCACGCAGAGCTATTTCAAGGAGATGAAGTGATGTTCAACGTGCTGATTAAATTAGGAAAGTGTAGCAATGTTTCTAAAACAGCAACTGAAATGCTGCAATATAAACTGAAGTCCTGATACATGGGAGATTCTCCGTTAATGCTCGAGTAATCAAGATCTATAAAACCTTAAGCTTCTTCAATTACACTGCATAACTGATTTGTATTCTTTTTATTTAGATTGAACTAGCTGATCCAGATGGTGTTTTAGCAGAGGCCCAGGCGATGTTTGATGACAGCCAAAATTAATAACCGGATGCTGAAGAAAAAAAAAAAGATGCGAGATAAGAACACGATCTTGGGTTACTTAAGTCATTTGAGTCTCAAATCCACACACTGTGGTGTATCGTGTTGCGGTCTGCCTCACTTTGCCCTCAAGGCTGCCCATGTACGCTTCACTGTGCAGGTGGCTTTGCTCAGAAGCCTCCTCTCCCACCCCCATTATTTTGGAAAAGAAAGGGGAAAAAAAAAAAGAAAAAAAGAAAAACCACAAGCAGCAAAGTGCAAAGACAGGCAGCGTGACTCTTTGCCCAGCTCCTCTGACATACTCCTCCTGTAAAGAAATATCACTCCTGTTGGTTTCAAGATCTTTCACATTGCCTTAGAGAAGAAGCAGGGTTTCTATTGTATGCTATAAAAGCAAAGCCCTAGAAAAGTACAGTCAAGTAATTGTCCCCTCCCGCTCGCCCCACCCTAGAAAAGTACGGTCAAGTAATTGTCCCCTCCCGCTCGCCCCAAACTTAGCCCAATACATACCTGTGACCCAAGATGGCTTTTGAAGTTATAACAGATCATGTTTCAATTAATATTTTTATTAATGCAACTTTACTTGCTCTCTCTCTGCATTTTCCGTAATGTGACACTGGTTCTCCTCCCCAACCCCCGGGAATGCAGAGCACCAGATCTCACCCCGGCTCTGCTCCTCGCCCAGCCCATGTGCTGGACCCCCAGCACTCAACGGCACTGCGCCGGCTGCTCCGTTTCTGCCCGACGCAAGGACCACGCGCCAGCCACGCAGGGCTGCACGGCTTCCGATCTGCGAGGCACCCACAAGACCCAAGGAAGGTGGCACTGCAGCTGGCTGGTGAAAAACAAACTGTGGGAGGGTGGGTCGTTAGTTCACCTGATTAATACCATGCTTCCGAGGATCACCTCTTGTTTACAGTTCATTTGGTCCCTTGACTCTTCATGTTTTCTAGGCTGAAAAATAACCTAATTTTCTATTTAAGCACTCTGAGGGAATAACAACAATACAACATGCTTAGTCCCAAGATTTCAGCAGTGCTGACAGGAGGAAAAGGATGTCAACTATGTTATATTCTTTATACCTGCCTGCATGAACAGGAAATTTTATCTTTGTATTGTGACTGAAATGAGTAACTGAATACATTTTAAGAGATCCTCAGAAATACACAGTCAGGATTAGCACAATACAGCTGAAGAGAGAAGGGATATAGAGAAAATAAGCGTATTTTAGGCCTCTAGATAATAAATAATCAGCAACAATTGAGTATATTTTATTTCATTAAAGTATTTTATATCTAAATAAGTGATACACAATAACGAATGTTTAAAATGCTTGAGGTAAATGCATAATACCATTAGTATAAATAAGGGATAAAAACCAAATTCTAAGTGCACTCTTAATGTTTAGAACCATGTGTCTGGGTCTGGTTACTGCCTCTGGCACACAGTTAGGAGACTGTGCCCGAGGTGTAACTTCCATGACCTTTTCCACAGCTGGAAAATGAGAGAAACATACTCGATATCATGGCTTAAAGTGCAGAAAATATTCAGAAAAACAGCTGTAATAACAGCGCCATTAGCTCAGAACCTACTAGCTTGAGAAAGTTAAAAATAAGGTTGTCCCACTAGCTTCTAATTCTGTATTTCTTAAACAAAACAAAAAACCCCACACTTCTGTGTCACGTTGTAAAAGAGCCACAAAATAAAGATAAATTCGGCTACTTATCCAGGACAGCAAGTAATTTTACAAAATAAACTTGGAAAATATATTTTCTGGACTTCCGTTCAAAATAACATTGTAACTTTTAAATACACCATTTATGGACAGAAGCGTAGTTTTTAAGCCTGACAGCACCCTATCAACCATTTGCTCTAGTGTGAATATTGAGTCAGGTTTTCTTCCTCTACTGAGGGGTTTTAAGAGTCTTTTTACCCAAGAAAGGACTAGTATTCCAGTAAAAGATGGGAAAATAAATTTTGTGCCTACTACCAAGATTTCGTGTTTTGGAATGCTGCTTCATTAATGCCTTTACTAACACAATCCTTCCAGTGCTCCATGAATGAACACCTGTGGGACTGTAGTCACAACTCTCACCTTCAGCAGATTTACATCGGTAACAGAATATATTTGAAGCATAACGTAATGGCAGAGCTAGAGAAAATCCAGTTTGGCCTCTGTATGCCAGAAGGACTGGTGAAAACGGCAAGTGGAAAGCTGTTTCCTGCTTGTGAACCAAGAATGCTGCCGAAAAGAAAGCCCAGCAGTTTTTTTACAGTTATTTTTCAGAATACAAATGCACCACGGGTAACCTTGTCAACACTTTCCACTGCGGTGGTGCTGACATGAGAAATCAGTCCCATTCGCTTCACGAGGCTGCTTCAGTAGTAAACACACTCTGCCACCCTAACCCTGTAGACACCTACTACAGTTTGTGAATATGCCGGGATAACCTGAGATGGAGGTTGGGTGTAAGAGACCATGTTCAGCCCAGGCTCAGTCAGGTACAGCTCCACTGTACCGTCACGTTCACGCCTGTCTAATTTCTAAATCCCAAGTTTCTATTCCACAGTGTTAGCTACGTTAGGGAGGTCAAGTTTTGTTCCACTGAACTTGAAACCTGTCTCAGTTTGTGTTAAAAAAAACCAGCTTTTACCCATTAAAGCCCAAAGCTGCTCCACAGAAGAACTGCATCCAAAGAATTCCACTTCTAGACATAGCTAGAATTACTGAAGCAGCCCAGGACAGCTGCTGCAATCTTTCTTGGACAAACCTCTTTAGATAAGAGACCAAATGGAAGTTTTTGCTTAAAGAGGAAATAAAAAACCAACACAGTAGCCTCGCTGTCACAGACTTGTGGGTCTGAAAGTAAGCAGCAATATTAATTACAAATAACCTACTTTCATAAATAAATCTACATAGAGAAAAGTAGTCTTCCAGATCCTTTGGAAGCAAAAAATGCGTAACAAATTATTAAATACAACACTTCAGCAAGGAGAAGACTTTTTCTAAACAAGGAAGACCAAGGCATAGCTAATTACTTGGGAATCCAAAGCAGAGAAAGCAACTTTTGCTGCTTGCATCTGAGGATTTATTAAATATCTATTTTTAATATAAAAGTACAAAATAATTACTACTTTGGCTTGGAAAAAAACACAGCAGTGGTTCTGATTTTCAAGCAAAAAAATTATCCAGTGATAATTTCCATCTAGTTCCTTCTTCTTCAGAAAAGATTCCTAAATGGGAAACAGGCAAATCTATCTCTCCAGATAGTATGTGCTGGCTCGTGAGAACTTTAAAACAGTTATTGCTTTTATTTTCTTCCAAAGAAGAGTAGAGTAGAGTCTCATTCCTACTCATGTGGCCATACCACATCGCAGTAAGACTAGTCAAGGGTGTTTAGCGAGTTATACAATGTGTAACTGCCACGAGGAAAAAGGCGCTGGAGAAATCAGTAAAGTAATAATTACTTGGCAGCAAAACATACCGGGGAAAGTGGTGGGAAAGCTTTCACTTCTACCATCTGTCAGGCTTTCTAGAGAGAACAGCGCTAGCACTGAAACCAAGTGCTAATTGCTGCATATCCCAAGTAATTTGTATCATGCCATGCAATATGGATCGGACAAGCAGTATCTTCTAGTAAATGCCAACATCAAATAAACAGAGGGAAGAAAAAAAGCTTCTCTATCCATCCCTAACAAATACCCAAATTTACAATGTTATTTTCCATGTATTTATACAGCCACCATTCAGCATTAACAAGAAGAAATCTAGACAGTGCTCACAAGAGGAAGGATGCACGTGCAGTGCAAGCATACCCCACCATCCATTCCTTCAGATGTCAGATAGCCACAATTTTATGAAAGGAACAACATTTTTTTTCTCTCTAAAGGGTTAGAACAACATTTATAATCTCTTTTTAAACGGTAATCAACAGTTCGACCAGTTGATCCGCTGGGGAGTCAACGTAACAAGGCAGAAGCAGAAGAGTGGGTTTATTTTCTTTAAGTACAGGTTTATGCAAAATGGGTAACAGCTGAGGAGACAGTATCACCTCTGTGATCCAGCTGATCCTGGAGTCGTGCAAATTCAGCAAGTTCATTCAGTTCTTGAAATTGCCTGTCTGTTTTATGGCTCACCAGCGACCTGTAGAAGTGGACTGCAAACACAATGAAAATCAATCCGAAGGGAACCATAATAGATGTTGATGCAATGGCTGCTGCCTGTCCTGATGTGATGGTAGAACTGTTGCTCTGGAGTGGATTATCAGTTTTCTTCTTTAAAGGAAGAAACTTCACCCAACACAGTAGCACCACCTCTGCAAGAAAGAGCAAAGTCCCAATGACAGTAGAAAATGCCCACGCAAGCTCAATGTGCCGATGCATACGCTCATGAGGAGATTCCTTTACAGAGTTGAGATTATGCACATTGCTAACAGCCTCTATATTTGGAAGAATGCAGGTACTTATCATGAGTGCAAAAAGGTGAACTGCAACAAGGACAGTAGTACAGGCACTGAAGGCTATCAAGAGACCTTGAGGGTAGTCATGTTCTGCGTCTAGCTGAACTTCTACCATAGCCACCTAAAAAGGAAAGGAGAGATGCAATTACCCACATTACATATTATTTGACTACAGATAGTATTTTAAGTTTAAAACAAAATAATAGTCTGTATTTAAATTTATCTTCATGTCAATCTCCACCCTTTTCAATTAGGTCCAAATTTAGGTCTGAGCTACCGAGCAAAGGCCACCATTTTCATACTTTCTCTTCTGTTGCAGAGCAAACCATCAGTATGCACAAAAGCTATTAACAGCACAACCACCTTGCCACCTCCAGCTCATCCCAACGAGACAGCTGAACTTTGTGATCAACATACTTGGACTCTTAAAGTGAAACATTTCTTCTTTCCTCTGTTATACCGCAGAGGCAGCTTTTGATCTTTCACTATAGATTATAAATTTTGCTGGGTATTAGGAAATGTTCTGTGCCCCATACATGTGTAGAACGAATACCGTATGAAGTCTTTTGAAGTAAGTATCTGTAACAGGAAAGCCTGCGAAGGCAGCGGACTGCCCGTCACAATCTTGGTGGTCCTTTGTCCTTGGATATTTAAGTTCTGAAGAGCAGGAGCCTTTCATTAGAAAGATCACCTTTCCATGGGGCTCTCAGCTCTATTCTTTCACTCAAAATGAGTATTTAACCAGAGTCTAGAACACAGATTCAGAGCATGAAAGTCTCCACAATGTCCATGGCAGCCAAACAGGCCTGTCAGAGGCTAGAGGAAACACCACTAGCTACTCTCACTCTGGAAGCTATGTCTAGCCTCATCTCTGGGTGAGCAGTGCTATCTCACGAAGATTCTCCAAGGGCCAGTCCTCCACTATTGTATGCAGCCATGCCCTTTTATAAACTTAGATGTGCAAGCATGCCTGTGCTTAAGGAACAGAAATTAACATTAAATAACAGCACTAGGAAACTCATAAACCCAATTCAAATATTTTTGATAAAGAAAATGAACTAGAATGCCTTTTAACAGTTTTTAAAACTGTCAGGTGGTTTTATGCATGTGCAATTGATGAGTGACGTTAATCCCAGCAGCTCTCTTGAAAAATAATCTTTCCTGATAAATTTGCCTTTCAGACAAAGCACAGTTCCAAAGAGGGAATAATGCAACAACGTCTCTATATTTAGTGCTCTTTCTCAAAGGATCTCATTAAATAGACAAAATATGTTTAAAATGCAGAGAAAAAAAATGGTTTTATGCATGTGCAATTGATGAGTGACGTTAATCCCAGCAGCTCTCTTGAAAAATAATCTTTCCTGATAAATTTGCCTTTCAGACAAAGCACAGTTCCAAAGAGGGAATAATGCAACAACGTCTCTATATTTAGTGCTCTTTCTCAAAGGATCTCATTAAATAGACAAAATATGTTTAAAATGCAGAGAAAAAAAAACTAACAGCAATCTTAAATATAAACACATGTACACCATTTAAGGAAGACGCAGAGGCTGCCATTCAGCACAGTTCAGACTGATCCACACCAGCCCCTTCTGCACCTTGGCTGCCCACTCTTGATCCTTCATTGAAATGACTCAACTTGCTAGCCCAGCAAAAGCTAACCTGGTTAAGAAGTGGTGATCTGCTAGCTTAGCAAGCTGAGCTGTTTCTGCAATGCCTCTGATGAACAACAAAGCTGGCACAGGCCCGTGTAACTGAAGAGGAAGCATTTGTACCAGGACCTCAGACTCTTGGCAGCACTAAGCTGTGAGCCTAGCTCTTCTGTAACATACCAGTTTGCCCTCAAAAAGACCATGAAACCAGTTCGTACAACACAGTGCCTGAAACAAATCAGCTCTTTTGAGTCCCACCGATAAAGGTTTAGCCCATTACCACATGCCATTATTAATGGTTTAGACAGTACTCGGCCTATAGCATACATTTCAAACACCTCAATTCTCATCAAGCTGATATGAAGAAAATTTCATAAAGTGTGGGTAATACGGACGCAGGGAGACATAGAAACTGGGACCCAAAGACAGCTGCAAAAACATAAGAACATTCAAACATCACTACTTTGCAAGAGCTGAGCCAAGCTACACCTAGTCCAGGATCCCATCTTGTTATGCTCCCAGAATCAGCATGTGGCAGGACACCAGAACTCTTAACCGCTAACGCACCAAATGTATTAAGCCAACCGAGAGTTTTGCTCAGACACGTTTCGACAGGCATTCAAGGCCATTTGCCAATATTTTAACTCCTTTATTGAAAGCTTTTATCGTAATAAGCCTAACCACCCAGCCACCTAGCAAACAGTTTCCAAGTGTTACAAAAACTCAACCAGAAATTATATTAATGCTTATACAAGTCTTGCTCTAAGATTTAAAAATACTATTTCTCAACCATGGGAAACTTCACATTTGAGAGGATAAACATTTGGTCGTCGAGTCTCTCTTCTGCAGGATTGCTTGCTAAGTCCCAGTGTACTTGTGGGATATTGGGCTTCCTGTGTTTTTCACAGAACAATTGCAATCCTTCAACACCAAGGATTCATTTTCATACTTACCAAAGTTTTTTCTTGTAAATTTTCTGGTGTATATCTAGACTCAAATCATCCAGCATGGCAAGACATTTTAATCCTTCATCCTAGTACTTATTATGTTAACGTAACCATGACACTAAAGAGCTTCATAAGATGAAGACTTTATTTCCTTTTTAGAACTGATGTATTTAATTTGCCAAATATTGATTAATAGAAATACAAAATGTCTTCAATGTCTTCACGTAATAATGATATCAAGCATCTGATTCTGAAGTTCAGTCAGACTGTCTTAATTCCAACGTACCAGCTCTCTTGGAGCTCCTCTTCCCATTTCAACAGAGCATCAGGAAGAAATCTTTTCTTCCTCTTCTTAGCCTAGCCTGAGCTAAAAAGAAATGCTAAATAATTACATTTCATCTAAACGTACCTATTTCTGATTTGGCTATAATTATATGCATGATCAAAACAAAATCTTGCAAGAAACCAGCTTAATTTAAGCAGCATTCAGATACTCAGATAGCTCTGTTCCTTGATAACCACTGAGAGAATCATAGGGACAACTAACTACTGAAAGGAGACATCCAGACCAGGAATCCAAGTTTTCCTGGGTTAAAAAGACTTCATTTTAACATTGCTGGGTGTTTCCCTAAAAGAGTGACCCCAGGAACACCTACAACCATTATACACTGGTGGGATAGCTTAAACCCGAGTTTGAGCTACACAAGCAAGGCTTCAGTTTATATGGCTGACAAATACTTTAACACAGACCTGCTTTGCTCAGGAAGTTTGTTGGGTAGGCAGGCCCCAAATCATCTCTCAGAAGAAGAGTTTTCCAAAATCCAGCAGGGCTGTAGCTGTTACTTAAGACTTGTCACAATTTACCCCACGAGCAGGAAGGGTGTAACTTCCTTCAGCTCAAATCATACCATGCAATTACTTACTGTAATTCCAAGTGTACTCCCTCTGTAAGAATAATTGTAGGTAGCATCGATATCACTTGAAAAGGTAGCCTAAGTACTACTCTTCTAACATGTGCAAAATAAGCTGGCAGCTGAGTAGCCATACACACTGCCAATTACTCCCAGTTTGGGATGCTAACAAGGTGCGAATAAGGCAGAAGCAGGGCAGTTGGCCATCCCAACCTTGAAGCCTCGTGTACACCTTCAAACGGCTGAAAGCTGCTGGAGGGAGGCCACGTACCGCAAAGCACCAAGGGGAGGGCAGGCTCCCAAAGGAGACTCCTAGAAAAGACCAGGACATCCCACGGGGGGGTGCGTGCCTGGGCCAGTTTCAGCATCTTCTCCCAACTCAGTCACTCCCACAGCAGTTTTCATGCCAGCACAGGCCTGATGCTAAACACCAAGGGAGCCCGGCGTTAGGAATGACACCTGAAGTTGTTTAAGTCATACTTGGCTATCCTGCCAAGAAGCAATACGGCCTCCTCTCCATGGCTGGAACCAAAGGGAAGAGTACTAGCTGCATCAACTGCTGGGCCAGGAAAGATCCTACACCAAAGTGAGTAACAGAAATGCTAATAGGGAGACAACATCTGCCTGCTTTGAGGAGCAGATCTAGAGCTCAACGACTGTGATGATGATACAGTCAAGTGTTTATGGGTAAGGATGAGGGGGAAGGCCAACGAGGCAGATATCCTGCTGGGAGTCTGTTATAGACCACCCAACCAGGATGAAGGGGCAGATGAAGCGTTCTACAAGCGGCTGGCAGAAGTCTCTCAATCGCTAGCCCTTGTTCTCGTGGGGGACTTCAACTTCCCGGACGTCTGCTGGAAATACAACACGGCAGAGAGGAAGCAGTCTAGGAGGTTCCTGGAGTGTGTGGAAGACAACTTCCTGACACAGCTGGTAAGTGAGCCTACCAGGGGAGGTGCCTCGCTCGACCTGCTGTTTACAAACAGAGGACTGGTGGGAGATGTGGTGGTCGGAGGCCGTCTTGGGCTTAGCGACCATGAAATGGTAGAATTCTCCATT